CTAGCACATGGGGGCGGCGGGGGAGCCTGTGCCGAACGCACCAAGAGGGAAACATACCACGGCTGTGGAATCGCTGACGGTGTGTTCACAGATGAAGGGGGCCTCTGGCACGTCCATGACTATAGAGGACTCTGAGGGGGTCGAGGAGGTGTCCGTGTCCAGCTCAGGGTTGTCAAGGTCCAGCAGGCCCCCAGGGGCGATTTGGGATTTTGACTGGTGGGGGCAGAGGGCCAGGTCCCTATTTTCTAACTCCTTGGCCACCGAGGAGAAGCTGAGTTTGTTCAGCTCGCCCTCCAGCATCCCTGCGAAGAAGCTGCTGTTGGGCTGGGTCACAGCCAGTTTGATGGGATTCAGCAAGGTGGATGAGATGGGGGAGATGCTGGTGTCGTCAGAGCTGCATTCAGAGTCCTCCACTGGCATCGACTTCCTGAGTGGGAGGGAGACAGTTGAGCTCGCAGGAGGCCGCCGCCGCCCCGGCCCGCAAAGCCGATAAGCTCCCCGAGGGCCCTCCTTGCGCCCTGCTAGCCAAAATCCCCAGCTGCTTCTGAACCACTCAGAACATCCTTAGCACTCTGTAGCAAGGCATCAACCACCCCAGGGCACTTACTGAAAAAATGCAGATTCCTGGTCCCTGCCCCACTTTGGGATGGGACTAGGAAAGCTGCTAACATATCTTTAATAAGGTCTTCAGACAAATTCTGAGCCCTGTATTCGGAGAACCACAATTTGAGAAATGGTGCTCAACCCTTAAGTCCTCCTTCCAAAGTGGGGTGTACATACCCCTGGGGAAGTCCCAAGCCAGTCTAAGGGGAGTATGGAAAAATATCTGAAAGTATCTAAAAGAAAAATAATTAAACTTTACTTGTATTTACTTCTACTGTTTAAAAGTAATTACTAATTTATTTACTTAGGGGACACGTGGGTGGCTCAGTCGGTTGAGCGGCTGCCTTTAGTTGGGGTCACGATCCCTGTGTCCTGGGATTGGGTCCCACATTGGGCTCCCTGCACAGCAGGGAGCCTGCTTCTCCCTCTGCCTCTCTGCCTGCCATTCTGCCTGCCTGTGTGCTCTCTCTGACAAATAAATAAAAATAAAATCTTTAATTTATTTACTTAGATTTTCTTTTTTTTTTTTAAGATTTTATTTATTTGACAGAGATCACAAGTAGGCAGAGAGGCAGGCAGAGGGAGAGAAGAAGGCTCCCTGCTGAGCAGAGAGCCCGATTCAGGGCTCGATCCCAGGACCTGAGCCCAAGGCACAGGCTTAACCCACTGAGCCACCCAGGCGCCCCTACTTAGGTTTTCTGACATTTAACAATATTAATATGTAGCATGTAAAATTAATAATAGTACACGTAAGATTTACACATATTGGGGTAAACACTCAAAAACTTTTCCTTCCATCCAAAATTTGTTAAATTATGAAATATTTTACACATATACAAGATAATCAAGAATAATATATTAGCAGATATAATATACTATACAGTATATGTAACTATAAAGTATAATACAGTATAACTATACAGTATAATAACTATAATACACTATACAGTGTACAGTATAATGCTATACAGTATAGTATATAGTATACATATATACTATACAGTGTACAGTATAACTATACTATACAGTATAACAGTATAATAACTATATATAGTATAATATATACAGTATAACATACACTATACAGTATAATATATGCAGTTTACAGTATATACACTATACAGTATAATAACAGCATACAGTATAACTATACAGTATAATATACTATATAGTGTACAGTATAATAACTGTATACAGTATAACTATACATTATATAGTATAATAACTATACAGCATAATATACATTATACAGTATAATATAGAGTATATACACTATACAGTATAATAATCATACAATATACAGTATACTATACAGTATATAATATACACTATACAGTATAATATAATATACTATGCAGTATAATATACTATATAGTATAATAACTATAATTAATTATACTATATTGTTGGGTGCCTGGGTGGCTCAGTTGGTTAAGTGTCTGCCTTTGACTCAGGTCATGATCCCAGGGTCCTGGGATCGAGTCCCACATTGGGCTCCCTGCTCAGCGGGGAGCCTGCTTCTCCCTCTCCCTCTACCTGCCATCCCGCCTGCTTGTGCTTGCTCTCTCTCTTGTCAAACAAATAAATGAAATCTTCAAAAAATAATAATACTTTATTATGTATTTGAAACTTGCTAAAAGAGCGGATCTTAAAAGTTCTTATCACAAGAGGCAAATCTGTCACCACGAGTGGTGACAGATGGAAATGGAACTTATTGGGGCAATCACTTCACCACACACACGCACACATCAAATCATGTTATACACCTTCCACGGATACAACGTTATGTGCCAACTGCATCTCAATAAAACTGGAAAAAATGAATATATGATAAAGTGAGAAAATAAAGAATGAGATATTAAGCTTCCACTTAGCAAACATCCAATTTCAGAAGTAGACCTCACCAGCATAGCTAAAGCCCGCAGGACACTTCTGTCCCCCACCTGACCACACCTTCCCACTCCACGGTAACCAGTACAGCACATTTCAGGTTTTGTGTTTATTATTATACATGTGTCTCCATAGGTTTGTGAGCGATGTCTGCTATCCTTCAGCAACATCGAATTATTTTGCGTATTTTAAAACTTCATATAAATAAATGGTATCACACATTGACCAGCAGCTTGCTTTCTTTTTACTCCATTGATTTTTAAAATTTTATTTATTTTTTAAAAAGATTTTATTTTTAAGTAATCTCTGCACCCAACATGGGGCTTGAACCCACAACCCCGAGACCAAGAGGCACATACTCCACCGACTGAACCAGCCAGGCACTCCAACATTGTTTGTACTGACACATGTAGCTTTGGTTCAGTCATTGTAACTGCTGTACATTTTTCATTACATGGATATTTGTATTTTTACCAATTCTTGGCTATTACAATGAAAACCCTTGTATGTGTTTCCTTTTTTTAAAATTTTATTATTTATTTATTTACTGATAAAGTACAGAATCCAAAATGTTTGGCTTTCAAATCTTTTTTTTACCTTGACCCAAAGTAAATACATATTACCTACTATACTGAACGTGCACATAAAACTAAACCACGGGGCACGTGGGTGGCTCAGTCAGTTAAGCAGCCAACTCAAGCCCTTCTCCCCACCCCTGCCCTCTGGTCTTAGAAAGGAGGAAAGGACCAGACTTTTGTCTTACGATAGACTGATGGTATCTTCCTGCAAGAAGTTAACCAAACTGCCCCTTGCGGAAAGTGGGAGGCCTTTGGTAGTGACGGTCCTGTTCATAGACTTGGGGTTTGGAAAGGGCTTCGACAGTTGATTGAGTGCATTCAGAACGTTGAGGGTTTCCTTCTTCAGCATGGCCTCTTCCCCATCTCCCACTCTACATAGCGTCTCTGATGCCATCTTGTTTGTTTGGGACCACAGCCGTCACTACACAGCTGACAGGAAGCAGAGAGAAACTGGGGGCAGTGGACCCACCCTTAGTTAGCGTGGGATGGGGGTGCAATGAGCTGACTTCATAATCATCACTGAGTGTAATAATTAGGGGCCCGCCTCCCCCTTGATCTGACGCTGCTGCTGCCCAGAGCCAATGGCAGGAGTGGGGTATAAGGCACAGACTACAGCACCCCTTGGGCCCCTTCCAGTTCTGATGCTCTGTGGTTAACAGCAGCCCTGCCTCTCTCTGAAGATCTCAAAATGCTTACCACCCGTGTCCCTGGGAGCTGCTTGGGGAAGGAGGAGCAGGGTGGTGAGAGAAGGCTCCTGGGTGTGGTGGGAGGCGGCAGGGTTCCTGGGAAACAAGCGGGACTGAAATGGGTCTCTGGGAGTGGAGGACTTTGTCTGTAGGATGCTGAGGCTCTATATCCCGAAATCCTAGGCAGCAAACCCCCACTGTGTCCTAGGCAAAGGGAAAGTCCAGATGGCTCATGGGGTTCACAGGCGACATACAGCCAGGTTTTACTGCTAGAACTCAAAATGTGCCACATCCTTACCCCAAGTGTTTTCATGTGTTGAGTGACAACGGTGGGTGCCGCAGAGGAACACAAATATGGGCCAGACATTTTTTTGTGTGCAAGAAAACCACCGTACTGTAGGAAAACCTACATACAACTTCGGGGCGTTCAGATGTGGATTTGTCCACTCTAAGTCCGGCTCTGCACGGACAGGTTCTGTAAGCTCTGGCAAGTGACGTCACCTGGTGGAGCCTCAGTTTCTGCCTCTGTGAAATGGGGACAAACCAGCACCGGCCTCGCCTCGCTGGATCATGAGGAGGTAACCCTGCAAAGTTGTGTTATGTCTTACAGAGGACGTGGCAAAGCAAAGGACATCTAAAAATGCCAAATCATATTTTTTATGTTCCAAATCAACAGGGCTTTTGTTGTTGCCAATCACCCAAAAAATAATGTTGTTTCTTTCCTTCGAAAATAGAGACGCAGATGCCCTCTCTGCGCTCTGCTGCTTCTTAGCACCTGCCATCCAATCTGTAATTACCCGGTATCTTTGATTCCTCTTCTCTATCCTCGTCCCTAACAGGTAGGCGTCGCAGCGCACAGATGTTCCGTCTGGTCGACCTCCGCCGCCCAGCGTTTAGAACAGAAGCGTACGCCGAGAGGCGCACAACACGGTCTCCGCGCGCGCCGGGGGAGGCTGGGGGAGGCGGCTGCGGGCGCCGGGTGCCGGGCGAGGCGGGCGGGGAGCTGGGCGCTGGGGGACGCCGGCTCGAAAAGGCTGGGGGCGTGGCGTGGCTCGGGCCTGCGCGCGGCTCCGCCCCAGCCGCTCTGTCGCCACGCGGCCAGCAGATGGCGCTGCAGGCCGGTCCTTGGCGCCCGGAAGGCGGAAGCGCGGCGGGGCGGAGGCGCAGAGAACCGGCCGGGGCCGCCCTCTCGGCACCGTCCCCCGCGGCAGCTCGGGACAGAGGCACCACGGGGCATGAGGAGAGAGCCCGGCGGATGCCCCCGGGACAAGCATCCCCGAGCGCGGCGCCCCCGGGACCCCCAGGGAACATGGGCGTGCTCAGGGCCGGGTTGTGCCCGGGCCTCACCCAGGACACGGTCGGGCAACTGAGGACCCGCGGGATCAGGACAGGTGACCGCGTGCGCGCCACCCAGCTGGGCCCAGCGCGGACGGGGCGTGTCCCGCACCGGTTGACCCGGGAGGGGCCGTCCCCTCGGCGCTCTGTCCCGCACCTCTCGGGAGAGGCGGGAAGGCGGGAGGAGGACCATCCGAGCCCCCCGGGGAGGGCAGAACCCCTACGCAGGTGCTGGGCGCCTCGCCAGGACCCCACGTCTCTGTGCTTTTACCGAGACCGCCTGGGACATCCTGTCCCGAGATAGAACCGTCACTCCGCTTTAGGTAGCCGAAAAGCTAAGTGTGGAAAGACCGGGCCTCCCTTCCTACCAGTCAGCCGCTTGGGTCTTGTTTTCAGTCGTGGACCTGGTTTCCGCAGACCTAGAGGACGTAGCCCAGAAATGTGCCTTGTCTTACAAGGTGAGCTGCCCATCTCCACGCTCCAAAGCTGGGTGAGTCCAGATGCTCACCCCCGAGCCAAAGGAGCCAAGGGTTCCCCTAGGTTGATAAGTAGGGTGGGGGAGCGAATGAGACCCTGGGATGCCCCCTCCTCTGGCCGGCCATTGCTGAGAAGCGTCCCCAACCCCACCCTGAGTTGCCCCTGCCCCTTCCGCAGGCCCTGGTTGCCCTGAGAAGGGTGTTGCTGGCCCAATTCTCAGCCTTCCCCTGCAATGGCGCTGATCTGTACGAGGAACTGAAGACTTCCACTGCCATCCTGTCCACTGGCATCCAAAGGTTTGTATGTGTACTTGGAGAGGAAGGTGAGAGGCTGGAGGACAGGACTGCCTCCACTGTGGCCCCTTATGCCTGAATCTAGAGAGAGCAGAGTTTTTCAAGCAGTGGTGGGGGCAGCATGGACCAATGGTCAGAACTTCTCTTACCCTATAACAGCGTTTCTCGACTTCACACTCCTCTAACATTTTGGGATTTGTAATTACTTGTTTGGGGTGGGGGTAAGAGGGGTCTGTCATGTGCATTATAGGGTTTATGGCCACATCCCTGGCCTGTGTTGACTAAGACATCAGTTGTACCTGTCTTCTCCCCATGATGTGTCAACTAAAAACATCTTCAGATGTTGCCAGATGAACCCAAGCAAAGTTGCTTCTGATGGAGAACCACTATTCTATAACACAAGATGTCAGTATTTCATTATTATTCAAGAGATCAGAACAACTCTGGTCTGGCCCTGCCTCCCACTTCACTTAAGGACAGGGCAGGAGAATGTGGCAGGACTGATAACACACTGAGTGCCTCCTGGGTACCGGCCATGGACATTAAGTTACATAATCTCCTCAGTGACCCTGCGCGTTAGTGATTATTAACCAAACTTGAGTTTAGCCCAAGAGGTTGGAGGGGTGAGGAGTGCGGGGGCGGGAGCAGCCCTAGGATACTCGATCAGAACTGGATGCGTTCCCCACACTCAGCAGCAAGAGGGGCCAAGAGAGTTTTCATGGGGGAGGACTTCAATTCTGCTGTGTTGTTGGGAGAGGGAAAGCATTGGAAGACAACAGCCAGTTTCCCGCCAAGGGAGTCTGACCTCTTTCCCAGCCTGTGTGTGCGGAAGTTGATGAGGAACTCTGCCACCAGCAAGGTCTCTGGATTGGTTTGGCCCTTGATGTTCCCCTGACACGTTCTCCTGGCAAGGTTCACGCAGCATGGGGCTTGCTTTTCCCGGATGGGGGGCCGGGTCTTACCCCATCAAACACACCCTTTGTCTACTAGGTGCCAGATATGTGCACATGATGGGTGTACAAGTCTGGCACAGTTCCTGAGCTTCATGAGCGTGGGGTCTAGCGGGTAGATAGAAGAGCAGGTGAGGGGCGCCTGGGTGGCTCAGTGGGTTAAACCTCTGCCTTCGGCTCAGGTCATGGTCCCGGGGTCCTGGGATCGAGCCCCACGTGGGGCTCTCTGCTCGGCAGGGAGCCTGCTTTCCCCTCTCTCTCTGCCTGCCTCTCTGCCTACTTGTGATCTCTCTTTCTGTCATGTAAGTAAATAAAATCTTTAAAAAAAAAAAAAAAAAGGAGCAGGTGAGCAGGAGAGGGGTGGAAGTGTGTGTGGTGGCAGCAGAAGGAGGGACTGATAAACCGGAAGCAGACCTGTCTCCGGGGGCTTGGCGAGCTTATGAAAGCCAACATAGGCAGAGGAAGCACTTAATGAGCAGTCCAGGGGTAAGGGGGCAGGATTGCGGCCATAGTGGGTCAATGCAAGGGAAATCAGAGTGGTTCCAGAAAGCTCTGTGGGGGAGGCAGGCCCTCTCTGAGCGCCTACGGAGAACCTGGCCCTGAGCTCGTGCTTTGCAGCACATGATTTCATTTTTTTTCTCCAACCACCAATGAGCGAGTGACAGTCAAATTCAGCCATTGAAAAGATGAGGAAACTGAGGCTCAGGTTAAGTGCTTGCTTAAGTTCTCTTGGCTAGTAAGTGGGAGGCCAGGCGCTTGGGGTTATATCTGTCACGCTCCTGACTCTGCCTCGCCTGCCCTGTTGCCTCTCTCCTAGTGGGAGGCCGGAATGAGCAGGGAGCTGTCGGCACAGGGCAGAGGTGTGCAGGGCAGACTGGACGGGGGAGGCCTGTGGGAGAGAGTCTGAGGGAGATGGCAGTGCTGGGGCCTGTGAGTCCGATCCAGGGCAGGTAACATGCAGGAGAGGTGTAGAAGAGGTGTGAAATGCCTTACTAGCTGGTGGGATGTAGGTGTGAAGAGTCAGATGAGGCGCTAGTTTCCAGCCTGGCTCTCAGTGTTCCATGGACACTGGACGGATGTAACTTTTTTGAAAGGTAGGTAGGGAGTTACATAGACATTTCAGAAATAATTCATTCACTCAAAGTAAACGAGCTTTTTCATAGTGGGTCATCTCAGAGCCTGGTGTGCACTGTGAGTCTTTACAAGGACCCTAGAGTGTGAAGTGTACCTTGCAGGAAGTTATATCGACTGGTGGAGAGAAATGGTTCTGTGAAAGCTGGAGCTATGTCTCGTTCATCTCCGTATCTCCCTCATTTTATTTACTTATTTTTTTAAACGCCTGCCTGCCTGCCTTCTTCCTTCCTTCCTTCTTTCCTTCTTCTTTCTTTCTTTTAGATTTTATTTATTTGACACAGAGAGAGTGAGTGAGCACAAGCAGGGAGAGCTGCAGATGGAGGGAAGGGAAGAAGCAGGCTTCCGCACTGAGCAAGGAGCCCGATGTGGGGCTCCATCCCGGGACCCTGGGATCATGACCTGAGGTGAAGGCAGATGCTCAACCAGTTGAGAAACCCAGGCGCTCCTGTATCTCCCTCATTTTAGAGGAAGGCCTTCAGGAAATAGGGAGTACTTAGGCTATGTTGGAATGAATGGCCAAAAAAAACAAAAGACAAAAAACTAAAAGCCAATTCCAAAGGATCAGTCCCAGAAATCGTTTATATTCAAAGCAGGTGGTAAGACCCAGTGGTTTTGCTGCACAAGGCAGGTGGGGTGGGGGGCGGGAGGGGTTGTCTCTCCACTGAGTTAGAGGTGATCGATAGTGGTCCTCTGGGCAGTAGGAGAAGTGACACAGGAATACAGGTGAGGGGGATTTGGGAATTCCTTCTGCAGCGTCCTCACAGCCAAGAATGAGGTCGATTTTTGTTTGGAGAGTCAACGCCAGTGGGTTAGGCCAGGCTACACATTAGAATCATCTGGGCGGTTAAAAAATATTTATGCCGGGGCGCCTGGGTGGCTCAGTGGCTAGGCCTCTGCCTTCAGCTTGGGTCGTGGTGTCAGGGTCCTGGGATCGGGTCCCATGTCGTGCTCTCTGCTCAGTGGAGAGCCTGCTTCCTCCTCTCTCTCTCTCCTCTCTCTCTCTGCCTATTTGTGATCTCTGTTGTATAAATAGATAAAATCTTAAAAAAAAAAAAAAAAAAAGAAATATTTATGCCTGGGTCCCACCCATTCTGACTCTAGGCCAATGGTTCCCAAACTTGTCCACACAATGGAATCACTTGGGGAGGGGTGTCTGCCTGGCTCAGTCAGTAGAGTGTGTGACTTTTGATCTTGGGGCTGTGAGTTCAAGCCCCATGCTGGGTGTAGAGATTACTTAAAAATAAAATCTTAGGGGCACTTGGGTGGCTCAGTTGGTTAAGCATCTGCCTTCACCTCAGGTAACGATCCTGGGGTCCTGGGATTGAGTCCTGAGTCAGGCTTCCTCCTCTGCGGGAAGTCTGCTCCTCCCCCGAAAAATAAATAAATGAAATCTTAAAATAAAATCTTAAAAAAAAAGAATCATTTGGGGAATCTTTAAACATCCTCAAAGGTCATGCCTCTTACAGACCAATTAAATCACATTCTCTGGGGATGGGACACAGGGATCAATAGTGTTTGAAGTTCCCAGTGATTCCAATGTGCAGACAGGTTTGGGAACCGCTAATTACAAGCTTCTTTTTCAAAACTGCTCTGCTGATTTTAATATGCAGGCAGGATCGGGAATCACTAGTCTAGCCTAGTCGTTTTCAAATGTGGAAACGCATCCATACCACCTAGAGGCCTTGTTGAAACTCCTACATTCTCCAGTTTCTGATGTGGGGGGGCGGGAGGTGGGTGAGAGTTTGCATTTCATGCCAGTTCCTAGTGCTGCTGATGTTGGTCTGGGGAACCACACCAGGAGAACCCCTGCTGTGCTGGAGCTAGGGATTATCTGATCCCAAGGGGAGAAGCCACAGGCCTGGAGTGGTGACAGGAACAATTTGACTGGCAGGGACCTGTGCTTACAATCATGGGGTCCTTGGAATTGGAATCAATTCCTGAGGTGCTGTTTGGCATGCACAGAAGGGTCATGGGAGGTCGTCAAGAACCGTTTAGGGTACTAGACCTCATGAAGCTGTTTGCAGGGCTAGAGAAGGGATACGTGAGGCCAGAACGCAGAGCTGTTGGTAATGGGGTGTGGTTTAGGGGAAGCCGCTTCAGCCCACATTTGGGTGGGCAGTGCAGTGTGGTTAGTGGCCCCTTTCTTTTGCGATGGTTCGAGGACAGAACTTGGATTTGGAATTGGCTGTGTCTTGACTTTACCCAAAGGCTTCCACGGCCAGAATGTCGACAATATAGGAACCAAATAACTAAATACTACTGTTCTACCACTTGTTTCTCTAGGAACATTTAATGTGTCTCCCCTGTATTTCTAGCATTGGGCCAATGTCCTTGCCCCTGGGTGCTCTGAGCCAAATGGGAAGAGAGACAAAAACAAGCACATAGAAAATAATCACCAACCCCCAGTACGGAGTGAATTCAGCACGGCCGCAGGATACAAGATCAGCACATAAAAATCAATTGCGTTTCTATATACTCAAAACAAACCTGTGGAAATGGAAATTAAAACATAATACCATTTACAGTTGCTCCGAAGAAAATGAAATACTTAGGTCTAAATGTAACAGAGCAGGTATAGGAGCTGTGTGCTGAAAATTAAAACTTGCTGATGAAAGAAATCAAAGACGACCCAAATAAATGGAGAGACAAACTGTATTCATGGATTGAAAGACTCAGCATAGTAAAGATGTCGATTCTCCCCAAATTGCCCTATAAACATAATGTAGTACCTACCAAAGTCCCAGCAGACTTTTTTTTTTTTTTTTGGTGAAAGTAAGATTTATCCTAATAATTACGTGGAAAAAAAGCCAATGACCTTGAATTGCTAAAACATTTTTGAAAAAGAATAAAGTTGGAGGACTCAGTCTGCCAAACATTCTTACTATAAAGAAGTAATCAAGATAGATATGGTATCAGCCAAGTGAAAGAGAAATAAATCAGCAGAGTCACATAAAGAACCTAGCAATAGACCTACAAATACGTCCAACTGAATTTTTTTTAAGATCTTAAGTAATCTTAAAAAGAAAAAAAAGATCTTAATCTTTATACCTAATGGGGGGCTCAAACTCACAACCCTGAGATCAAGTTGCATGTTCCTCAAGCTGAGCCAGGCAGGCACCCTAAAACTGTCAAGCTTTTAGAACAAAAGGAAGAAAATCTTTGAGAACTAGGGCTAAGTGAAGGGTACTTAGACTTGACACCAAAAGTGTCATTAATAAAGATAAAATTTTTAATCAAAAAAAATTAAGGATGAATTCAGAATTAAAACTTTTGCTCTGCAAAAGAGAAAAAGACAAGCTGTGGAGTGGGGAAAATATTTGCAAGCCACAAAGGACTTCCATCTAGAATATAGAATTCTTAAGGGGCACCTGGGTGGCTCAGTTGATTAAGCATCTGCCTTCAGCTCAGGTCATGATCCCAGGGTCCTGGGGATCGAGCCCCACGTTGGGCTCCCTGCTCAGTGCAGAACGTGCTTATCCCTCTCCCACTTCCCTTGCTCGTGTTCCCTCTCTCGCTGTCTCTCTGTCAGATAAATAAGTAAAATCTCATGGGGTGCCTGGGTGGCTCAGTCGTTAAGTGTCTTCCTTCTGCTCAGGTCATGATGGGATTGAGACCTGCATCAGGCTCCCCGTTCATCGGAAAGCCTGCTGCTGCTTCTCCCACTCCCCCCCGCTTGTGTTCCTGCTCTATGTCTCTCTCTGTCAAATAAATAAATAAAATATTTATAAATAAAATCTCAAAAATAAAGTGAATAAATAAAATCTTTTTAAAAAAGCAGGAGATAGGGGCACCTGGGTGGCTCAATGGGTTAAGCCTCTGCCTTCGGCTCAGGTCATGGTCTTAGGGTCCTGGGATCGAGTCCCGCATCGGGCTCTCTGCTCAGCAGGGGGTCTGCTTCCCTCTCTCTCTCTGCCTGCCTTTCTGCCTACTTGTGATCTGTCTGTCAAATAAATAAATAAAATCTTAAAAAAAAAAAAGCATGAGATATATAACTACATACCTATCAGAATAGCCACACCAAAAAATGGTGACAAGACCAAATGGTGGTAAGGATGTGGAGAAACTGGATTACTCATTTATTGCTAGTGGGATAGTAACGTGGCATAGCCACTCAGGGAAGTAGTTCATAGTTTCTTATAAAATTAACATGTGCTGCAGCCATCAAAAAAAATGGAATCTTGCCATTTGCAATGATGTGAATGGAGCTGGAGGATGTTATGCTAAGAGAAATAAGTCAATCAGGGAAAGACAATTATATGATCTCACTGAAAAGTGGAATTTAAGAAACAAGGCAGAGGATCATAGGGGAGGAGAGGAAGAAATAAGACAAGATGAAACCAGACAGGGAGACAAACCATAAGAGACTCTTAATCATAGGAAACCAAGGGTTGCTGGAGGATGCGGGGGGGCTAATGGGGTAACAGGGTGATGGACATCGGGGAGGGTATGTGTTGTAATGAGCACTGGGTATTATATACAACTGATGAATCACAGACCTGTACGGCTGAGACAAGTATTACATTATATGTTAATTAATTGAATTTAAATTTAAAAAAAGAAATGAAAATTAACATGTGCTTATTGTACAACCCAACAGTTGTTTTTTTTTTGTTTGTTTTTTTAATTTTTAGAGATGGGGAGAGGTGCAGAGGGAAAGAGAATCTTTTTTTTGTTTTTAAGATTTTATTTATCCATTTGACACAGAGAAAGAGAGAGAACACAAGCCATGGGACTGGCAGAGGGAGAGGGAGAAGCAGGCTCCCCACAGAGCAGGGAGCCCTATGTGGGGCTAAATCCCAGGGCCCCAAGATCATGACCTGAGCTGAAGGCAGATGCTTAACCGACCTAGACACCCAGGCACCCAGGGAGAGAGAATCTTAAGCAGACTCCATACCCAACACGGAGCCCTATGCTGGGCTCAGTCTGACAAACCTGAGGTCATGACCTGACCCAAAATCAAGAGTTGGGACACTTAATCGACTGAGCCACCCAGACACCCCCTAAATATTTTATTTTTATGTAATCTCTACGCCCAACATGGGGCTCGAACTTCCAGCCCTGAGATCGAGAGTCCCAGGCCCCAGTGACTGAGCCAGCCAGGTGCCCTCTGGCAGTTGTAGTCTTAGACATTTATTTATTTATTTATTTATAAAAGGTATCTTTCTTTTTAAAGATTTTATTTATTTGACAGACAGAGATCACAAGTAGGCAGAGAGGCAGGCAGAGAGAGAGGAAGGGAAGCAGGCTCCCTGCTGAGCAGAGAGCCCGATTTGGAGCTTGATCCCAGGACCCTGAGACCATGACCTGAGCTGAAGGCAGAGGCTTAACCCACTGAGCCACCCAGGCGCCCCTTAGGCATTTATTCCAGAGAAATAAAAACAGGTTTACACAAAAACCTGTACACAAATGATCACAGCGATTTGATTCACAATTGCCCCAACCTGGAAGCAGCCAAAACAGACTTCTATGGTTGAATAAACTTGGTGTGTCTGTACCATGGGCTGCTTCTCAGCGATAAAAAACAACAGCTATGGAAACAGCAACATGGACAGATCTCAAGGGAATGATGCTGAGGGAAAGAAGCCAGCCACAACGGCTACATGCAGTGTGGTTCTGTGCACGTAACATTCTTGAAATAACATCATGACAGAGGTAGAGAACAGATGGGTGGTTGCCGGGGATTCAGGGTGGGATGGAGGGGTGTAGCTATAGCAGGGTGGGCAGGGGAGACATGTAGTGATGGAAATACTCTGTATCTTGCTTGCGGTCGTTGCATGAACATACATGTGTGATAAGATTGCATAGAACTGGGGTGCCTGGGTGGCTCAGTCAGTTAAGCCTCTGCCTTTGGCTCAGGTCATGATCTCAGGGTCCGGGATTGAGCCCCGCTTCCCCCGCCTCTCTGCCTACTTGTGATCTCTCTGTGTCAAATAAATAAATAAATAACATCTTTAAAAAAAAAAAGATTGCTTAGAACCGTACACATACACACATACACGGAATACGGGAAGTCTGGATAAGCTCTGTTGATTGCACTGTGGTTGGCTTGCAATGTTGTGCAGTACAAGAGGTCACCATTAAGGAAAGGGAGGGGAAGGGTACATGGGACCTCCCTGTACAATCTTTTCTTTTCTTTTCTTTTTTTTTTTTTGGTAACTTCCTATGAATCTATAATTATTTCAAAAAATTTTTAAAATGACAGGGGGTTGGGCGCCTGGGTGGCTCAGTGGGTTAAAGCCTCTGCCTTCGGCTCAGGTCATGATCCCAGGATCCTGGGATCGAGCCCCGCATCGAGCTCTCTGCTCAGCAGGGAGCCTGCTTCCTCCTCTCTCTCTGCCTGCCTCTCTGCCTACTTGTGATCTCTGTCTGTCAAATAAATAAAATCTTAAAAAAAAAAAAAAAGACAGGGGCACCTGGGTGGCTCAGTAGGTTAAGTGTCTGCCTTTGCCTTGGGTCATGATTCCAGGGTCCTGGGATTGAGCCCCACAGTGGGCTCCCTGCTCTTTGGGTGTCTGCTTCTCTCCACGCTCCACCCCATCTCTTGCTCTTTTTCTCTTTCAAATAAATAAGTAAAGATCTTTAATAAGTAAATATCATAACAAATAAATAATGACAAATTATGGGAAATGCTATCAAGGAAACCCTTAAGGGATTAAGATCCAGAATGGAAGGAGGACCCTTTACTGGGATGGCAGAGACCTCTGTGGAGAGCGGAGTGATCTTCCGGCTGAGAGCGAATGGATGAGGAGGGACCCAAGGCAGAGCTTGTACCTGTGCCCTCTTTCCCTAGGGATGTTCAGACCATCTCTGGACAGAACCCAGGCTTGGGAAGCAATGTCTTGCTTTTTCTTCTTGGTTCCTATTCCCCTCTGTTCCCTCCAGTCTGCTGCGTTGATTCTCTTCCTCCTCTTTCATCAGCCTGGACAAACTGCTTGATGCCGGTCTCTACACTGGAGAAGTGACTGAGATTGTAGGAGGCCCAGGTAGTGGCAAAACCCAGGTACGTGGGCAGCCAGCAGCTGGGAGGACGTGGAGACGGGGGAGGTGGGAAGGTGGGTGCATCGCTCTGGATCCCTGGGGGAGCTTCTGCCAATGTACTTGTGATTCAGAGAGAAGATAGGTGGTGAGGAGTGGCTTGAACTTGAGCTTGGCCCATTCGCGTCAGTGGGATCTGGACAGGATTTGGTGGGGGGAATTCCCATTCTGGGCCCTCTTTGGGGGCTCACATTCTCCCAATGCCTCATCTCTTCAGGTGTGTCTTCGTGTGGCTGCAAATGTGGCCTACAGCCTGCAGCAGAATGTTCTGTACATTGATTCCAACGGAGGACTGACAGCCTCCCGTATCCTCCAGCTACTTCAGGCCAGGACCCCAGACGAGGAGGAGCAGGTCAGGGCAGGAGGCTTGAGTTCCTTCAAGGTTCTGATACAGAAAGACCTCATTATCCCTTATGTTGCCTGAATTTTGGGCATTTGGACGAACAGTCATTTCTGGCTTTGAAACCACGCTGTTCTATTAATTCTTCCTGTATTCTTCAAGTGTCCCGTTAGGACATTATCCCAGCATGGATGGTCCCCACACTGATCTTCCAGGTGACCCAGCTCCTTGCACACCCTAATTCAGGGCTGGCAAGCACACAGCATCTGTGTTTCCTTCCCATTTCTTGCATGGCAGACATTCCTAACCAGACCTGCCATACTTTGACCCTGAACTCTGACTTGGCTTTACAGCGCAGCACCCAGGCTGCCACCACCGTGAGAACCGGCCCAGGAGACCGAGCCCATTTGCTAGCTTGGACTGGAGTCCCTATGTCTAGGTTTCTTGTTCAGCTTTAAAATCCCTCTTTATCTTGCTTGAGCCCCTGCTCCCTCTTATCCAAAGCCCCTTCTTCACCTTTCCACGTCCTTAGGCAGGAGCCCTCCAGAGGATCCAGGTGGTGCGTGCGTTTGACGTCTTCCAGATGTTGGCTGTGCTGCAGGACTTCCGAGGCGCCGTGTCCCAGCAGGTGAGCCTGTTGTTCTGTCCCTCCCTGCTTCACCTAGCTTGCGGGAGGCTATCTGCCAGGGGGCAGGTGGCCTAGGACAGACTGGCAAAGCAGATGTGCTATCTGGTGACTCTAGCTGTGCCTGCCACTGCCAGGGTGGGATTCCTGTGTGCTTAATCCATTCCTGAGTGCCTCACTGTTTTCCTGCCTATCCCCACTGAACAGTAAGACCCTTGATGCAAGGATCAAGTCATATTCATTTCTGCATTCATCCTCCCTGGATCAGCAAGGATTACTTTCACCTCAAGTAAGAGAGGCTGAATGACAGGCACTTGAACCTTGAGGACATTTAATTACCTCACATGAGTCTGGAATGGGCAGGTCCGTGGTATCAGGGCTCTAGGCTGGTATGTCTGATTCTCTTGCTCTTCCCCGTTATAACTGCAAAATGGCTGCTATAGCTGTAGGCATCATGTCTTCCCACATCAACACCCATATTCGGGGCAGTAATAGATGGCCCCTTTTTCTGCCTTCTTCCGTTTTATCAGGAAAGAAAAATCTTTCTCCAGAACCCACTAGTAGACTTCGCCTTATGTCTTGTTGGCCAAAACAGAGTTTTGTGTGTATCTTAGACTAGGGGTTGGGCCCACCTTCCATGATGTCAGATTTCTGCCCTCTACCTGAACACATCCAGAATCCTGTTAACAAGGAAGAGGGGCTTAGAGAGGCATTTGGGTTGGTACCCCCTTACACCTGCTGGGTGCCTAGACAGGATTTGGTGCACTGATTTATAGGCTATTAGATTTAGAAAGACATCTTGGAGGGGCGCCTAGGTGGCTCAGTGGGTTAGAGCCTCTGCCTTCAGCTTGGGTCGTGATCTCAGGGTCCTGGGATTGAGCCCTGCAATGGGCTCTCTGCTCAGCAGGGAGCCTGCTTCCATTCCACTCTCTCTGCCTACGTGTGATCTCTGTCAAATAAATAAATAAAAATCTTAAAAAAAAAAAAAAAAAGAAAAGAAAAGAAAGACGTCTTAGAATAGCTCAATTCATGTTAAACTTTCTCTGACCCCAAAGGGTTACATGTTCCTATGGGCATACCTGGGATGGTATGTAAAGTAATGATTTTTACAAACTTTGGAACACTTAATAGTTGAACAGAAACTTGCCGTAGGAGCAGTAGCTTATTATGACCCATGTGTGTTGAGACATGAAGTCAAGTAGCCCTGATCTAATCCAACCCTCTCATTTCTGGGGATGAGGAGAATGAGGACCAGAGAAGTTTAGTAAGTTGCTCAAAGTCACTGCATAATTAGGATAAGAACTAAATCTCTCAACTCCCAGGTCAAATGACTTGTGCTTTTTTACTGGAAGACCATTAGGATAGTTTATATTCTGTTATTGCATAACAAGTTATCACAAACATAATGACTTAACACACTTATTACCTCACAGTTTCCATGAGTTATGAGTCTGGGCATAGCCTAGCTGGGGCTTCTGCTTAGGATCTTTATAGTCTGTAATCAAGATGGCAGCCAGGCTGTGTTCTTTTAAAAAAAAAAATTTTTTTGGGGGGCGCCTGGGTGGCTCGGTGGGTTAAAGCCTCTGCCTTCAGCTCAGGTCATGATCCCAGAGTCCTGGGATCGAGCCCCACATTGGGCTCTCTGCTCAGCGGGGAGCCTGCTTCCTCCTCCTCTCTCTCTCTCTCTCTGCCTGCCTCTCTGCCTACTTGTGATCTCTGTCAAATAAATAAATAAAATCTTTAAAAAAAAATTTTTTTTAAAGATTTTATTTATTTATTTGACAGAGAGCCACAGCGAGAAAGGGAACAGAAACAGGGGGAATGGGAGAGGGAGAAGCAGACTTCCCGCCAAGCAGGGAGCCCAATGCAGGGCTTGATCCCAGGACCCTGGGATCATGACCTGAGCTGAAGGCAGATGCTTAACCGACTGAGCCACATAGGCGCCCTGAACTGTGCTCTTATCTGAAGACACAACTGGGGAAGAATCCGCATACCAGTTCACTGGGGTTGTCACTAGGACTCATTTCTAGTGGGTTCAGTGTCTTGTTGGCAGTTGTCCAGGCTCCCACTGTTCTCTGCCCTGTGGCCCTTTCCATAGGCAGTTCACAGCATGCCCACTTGCTTCATCAAAACAGCACAAGAATGAGAGCAAGGGGCGCGTGGGTGACCCAGTCGGTTAAGCCTCTGACTTCAGCTCAGGTAGTGATCTCAGGGTCCTGGGATCGAGCCCCTCACTGGGCTCTGTGTTCCTTGGGGAGTCTGTTTCTCCCACTCCCTTTGCTCCTCCCCTCACTTACGCTCTCACTCTCTTTCCTTCTCCCTCAAATAACTTAAATTTTAAAAAAACAAAAAAGTGAGAGCAAAATGGAACATGTAGTTTCATGTTACATAATGTAATCTTGGGAGCAATGTCCTTTGCCATGAGGCATAGACTCATCAAGACAGTCCAGCACCTCTGACACTGTATTAGTCAGAAGCCAGCCACAGGACTCGCCTGCACTTGGAGGAGGGGATTACACAAGGGCTCAAACACCTGGAGGTGGAGGTCAAGGGGCTGCTTTAGGGTCTGTCCCCCACGGATGACCTGATAGCTCCATAGTTACCAGCAGTGAAAGCCTGGCTGTCCGCATTTTAGCCAGAGATTTTAACCTGCTCTCTCAGACTGAGGAAGAGCTAAGCTGATTTCTGTTTTAGCTTCTCTTCCTTTCAGCCATCCTCTCCTAGATGAGCGGATGGCTGAGAGTCAGTAACTGGACGATGAAGGAAAACATGCAAAAGACCAGATATGGTGAATAACCACAATCTGGGCAGCATGAAGTGAGAAAGAAAGTTGTGGAAACAGAAGCAGCAAATGACTTGGATAATACAGAGTAAGGGAGATTAGGTACAAGAAACTAGGATGATGCTTATGCGTGTGTGGAGAAAAAGATGGTAGTTTTAAGAGATGGCTCTCTATATAATCTGTATTTGGAACTGCTTGAAATGCGGAAGATGAGGCCTAGAAGCATGATCTAGAAGGAGACTGAAGTAAAGAGAAGGCTAACCCCTTCAGCACAGGAAGTTGGAAATTAGGGAAGTAAGCAGAAGAGGGAAAGGAGGAGCCTGGCAAGATGATGGTGGGGGAGGCTGGCCATGAGAGAGACGGCTGCTAAGCAAATTCAGGACTGGGGGTGCCTGGGTGGCTCAGTCGGTTAAGTATCCCACTCCTTTTTTTTTGTTTTGTTTTAAGATTGATTTATTTGTGAGAGAGAGTGTGCAAGAGAGAACAATTGGGGAGAGGGGCGGGGGAGAGAGAGACAGAAGATCCCAGAGCATCTCCACTGAGCAGGGACTCCAATGTGGGGCTAGATCCCAGGACCCCGAGATCATGACCTGAGCTGAAATCAAGAGCCGGCTGCTTAACCGAGTTCCCAAGCATCCCAAATGTCCCACTCTTGATCTCACCTCAGGTCTTGATCTCAGGGTCCTGAGTTCAAGCCCCGCATTTGGCTCCACACTAGGTGTAGAGCCTGCTTTAAAAAGAATTCTTGGGGCACCTAAGTGACTCAGTTGGTTGAACATCCATCTCCTGATTTCGGCTCAGGTTGTGATCTCAGGGTTGTGGGACACGGCCCTGCATTGGGCTCTGCATTCAGTGTGGAGTCTGCTTGTCCTTCTCCCTCTCTCTTTCTCCTTCCCCTATCCATGGGCTCACTCTCTCTCTAATAAGTAAATAAGTAAGCAAGTAAATTAATAGATAAGTAAAATCTTTAGGGAAAAAAAAATCTTAAAAAAATAATACAGGGCTGGGAGCCTGGCTGTCTCCATGGGTATTACATGCGACTCTTGATCTCAAGGCTGTGAGTTCAAGCCCCATGTTGGGTGTAGAGATTACTTTAAAAATACCTTAAACAAAGAAAAGAAATAAAGAAAATTCATGACTGGGGCCAGAGAACTTGGATTAGGGATTTTTCAAATTTAATTATTTTGGTGTATCTGTGATGTCCTGTGATTTAAACTCCCTCTATCCACCCAAGTCTTCAGTAAAATCCATTATACCTACAAACGGAGATAGGGGAAAAAGACCTTACTGAAATTCCATGAGGCCTGCACAGTTATATTTGGGGTTGGAGAACTTATTTCTTACCCGTGTCTGATAGAGGAGCAAGCTTGCTCTATGATGGACCCTCTCTAGAGGCCAACTGGTTTATGGCATTTGCTTCTCCCCAGGTGAGCAGCGCCTCAGCGACTGTGAAGGTGGTGGTTGTGGACTCAGTCACTGCGGTGGTCTCCCCACTTCTGGGAGGTCAGCAGAGGGAAGGTAAGAGGTGCGGCAGAGCCCAGGGTCCGGGACGTCATCTAGCCTCCCACCTTTGAAATCCAGTCCCCGATCAGCCCAATCCCAGGTGCCCTGCTGCCCTCGCCCTCTGCTTCTCCTTCTCCAGGTTTGGCCTTGATGGTGCAGCTGGCTCGAGAGCTGAAGACCCTGGCCCGGGACCTGGGCGTGGCAGTGATGGTGAGGAAGTGCACTTGATGGCTTGCTCGTCTTATCTCTGCTCCCTGGGCTTTGCCGAGGGGGGGACATGAATTTGATTTCTAGTTCCAGCTGTTTACTTTCCTTAAATGCCAGCTTAACCCCCAGCATGGTCCTTTAGGACTGGATCTTAGCCCAACTTCCCTGGGCCATCTAGAGCCCTAGACTGGGACGGGATCAGACATAAATAGCCAAGGGGTCAGGGACAGTCTTGGTTTTCTTCTTACTCTAAGACAGGTTTATTGAGGAATAATCCACACACAGAGACTTTTTCCTCATATGAAGTTTGGCTAACGGATACTAAGGTATGCATCTTGTTACAAGGCACAATCAAGATCTAGAATATTTGGTCATCCAAAAAGGTCCCCAAGCCCCAGACAGCCACTAATCCTGTTTCTGTCCCAATACTTTTGCCTTTTCCAGTGCTTCATAGAAAGGAATGTTGTGCTTTCAAGGTAAACTTTTCTGCTTACTGGAGACTGTTTAAAAAGTCTGTATGCTTCTCATAGGGTAAAAAATAGTTAAATATAGGAGTCAAATTTGTAGTAAGTCTCCATATCCACAGAAAACATATTAATATTTTTATGTATCTCCATAGGACCTTTTTTCTGCCATATATACATATACTTTTAACCAGCTTTCCAATTAAACTGTAAGCTTGTTTTAAGAAAAAAAAAAAAAAAAAAAAAAACCTCATCTCATTCCATTTCCCTGTCTTTAAATAGATGCTTTAAGAATGCCATTTTTAGCAGTTACATATTTTATTTAATACCTGTGTTACAGGGGTCAGCAAACTTTTCTGTAAAGGGTCGGAGAGTAAACAGTCGAGGCTTTGTGGCCATATGGTTTCCATCACAGCTACTCTGCTCCACCAAGGTTGCATGAGAACCACCACAGACAGTCCCTAAACAGAGGGCATGGCTATGTTCCAGCCAAACTTGACTTTCAGAAATAATTTTGGGGCCACAGTTGGTGTGTCAGGAGTAGTTTGCCAACCCCTGGTGTCCCATAATGGTCTGTTTCCTGATTGTGAGCCTGTAGTGTGTTACCGGTTTTCCTCTTTTATTTTCTTAATTTTAATTTTGTAATTTTTAAAAAAGATTTTATTTATTTATTTGACAGAGAGAGAGCACAAGCAGGGGGAGCAGCAGGCAGAGGGAAAGGGAGAGACAGGCTCCCCACTGAGCCGGGTGCCTGATGTGGGACTTGATACCTGGACCCTGGGAACATGACCTGAGCTGAAGGCAGATGCTTAACCAACTGAGTACCCAGGCACTCCTGGTTTTCCTCTATTTTAAGTAAAATTCTGGGGTGCCTGGCGGCTCAGCCGATTAAGCATTAGACTCTTGATTTCGGCTCAGGTCATGATCTTGGGGTCGTGAGATTGAGCCCCACATTGGGCTCTATGCTCAGCAGGGAGTCAGCTTTAGATTCTCCCTCTCCCTCTACCCCTCAGCCCTGCTCACACACTCACTCTCTCTAAAATAAATAAATAAATGTTTAAGTAAAACTCCAGTGAACACCCTGATACCCAAATTATTTGTACATTTCATATTATTTTCTCAGACTCCTAAAAGTATAATTACAGAGTCAGGGATAACCACATTTTTTAACTAATTTAATTTTTTTTAAATATTTTATTTATTTATTTGAGAGAAAGAGAACCAGAGAGAGAGAGAGTGCACGAGTTGGGGGGTGGGGGGTGGGCAGAGGGAGAGGGAGAAGCAGACTCCCTGCTGAGCAGAGAGCTTGATGCGGGACTCAATCCCAGGACCCTCAGATCACATCCTGAGCCAAAAACAGATGCTTAACCACCTGAGCGCCCCCAGGCATCCCCAAAATACATACATTTTTAAGTGTGTAGATATGATATCGCCAAATTTCCAAGAAGGTTATACTAATTTGTACACCCACCAGCAGTGTTCTTTTAGTTTGGGTGTTTTTTTTTGAAGATTTTATTTATTTATTTGACAGATCACAAGTAGGCAGAGAGGCAGGCAGAGAGACGGGAGGGGGGGGAAGCAGGCTCCCCGCTGAGCAGAGAGCCTGATGCGGGGCTCGATCCCAGGACCTGGAGATCATGACCCGAGCCTAAGGCAGAGGCTTTAACCCACTGAGCCACCCAGGCGCCCCTCTTTTAGTTCTTAAGTTGAGTCCCAGGGCCTCCCTCTCCTGACTTCAGGCTGTGTATGATCACCTGCTTGTGGCCCTAGCTTAGGCAGTGGGGACTCAGTGATGAACAAGCTGCAACCCCCTGCCCCCGCTGGGGGTGCCGGTGGGGAGACTGTCATCAAGAGGATGCCGTGAGGCTCCGGTTGCCCACCTATGGCTATGCTGGGCAGAGGAGAACTGACTGACCAGATTATGACCTCCCTTTCAAAGCTCCCACGACCCCCTACATACAGATGCCACAAGGGCTGGGTGGATGTAGTCTCAGAATGCCTGTCCACTGGGTTGGGGGTGTAGGAGGTGCGAGCCCACCCATCCCTTCCCTCCAGCAAAGCGCAGACAGTGCTGCTTATTCCCAAACCCGTGGCCCATGACTTTCTGCTGGAGTCAAGCCTGATGCGTGGTAATTTCATGGAAAGAGTGGAGCACTAGTGAGGACCCGGGGTTCTAGTTCCAGATCCGCTGTCAGTAACTCAGGGAACCCGGGGGAAGTCCTTTCTCTGTGTTGGGCCTCAGTTTCCCACTTGTAGAATGAAGCAGCAGGAACAGATAACCTCTAAACCAGCATGATCGATCTGGAAGTCTTTGCTGCTTTTTGCCTTAGGTGACCAACCACATGACCCGAGACAGGGACAGTGGGGATCTCAAACCTGCCCTTGGACGCTCCTGGAGCTTTGTACCCAGCACCCGGATTCTCCTGGACATTGAGGAAGGAGCAGGAGCATCGGGCAGTTGGCGCAGGGCACGTCTGACCAAATCTCCCCGTTTGGTGAGCCGGCCTCAGGGGAAAGCCAGGAATCTGGGCCCTTGAGGGTGTTTGTGTGCCCAGATGTCTCACGGAGGGATTCTTGGATGCTGGGACCCGGCAACCAAAGAGGCTGCCCGCTCCAGTTGCTTAACTCAAAAACTTACCCTTCCCTCCTGTCTTTTTCTAGCCAACAGGTTTCCAGGAGGTGGTAGACATTGGGACCTGGGGGCCTCCAGAGCAGAGCCCAGCATCCCAGGGAGATCAGATAGGACTGTGCTGTTGATTGGGAAAAGCCGGGGACATCAAGCACCCCACCTCTGTGCACGCTAGCAGCTGCTGTTCACGGTCACCCAACACTTGGGACTGTAGGAGAAGCTCTCGGGCTGGGCGGAGGAGACATCTCTGTTTCCTCAGCCTCTCTTTCTGTGGCAAGAGAGGACGCTGTGTTGGAAGGACCCAGAAACTCATGCCGGTCCCAGGTTTTCTTCCTTGTTTCTATCATGTATGTTTCCATGGGAGCTGAGTTCACCCTGGCCTCCGGCCTCTGTGAAGAGGCCTGCTAGAGACCAGACAGAACCCTTTGTGTCACCATGGTACCCGCGTTCCATCCTCATGCAGTGACTGAGCCCAGAAGCCTCTGCTGCTCTCTCTCTCTTTTTTTTTGTCTCTGTTTTTCCATCTGTAAGATGGACATCCCTTTCCCCTAGCGTTGTCTTTTAGTTTCGGGTACAAGTGACCTTGCAAAAGCAAAGCCCTTCTTTATCTATGTCCTGCCCTTAAAAATACAAACAGGAAATTCCCTGAGCCCCAGAGCCACCTGATTTCTCCCCAGAAGGGTGTTTTTCAGTTTCCCCCAGTGAGGTTCCAAAGAATGGTTCTTCCTTTTTTTCCTCTTGCTGATTTGGTTTCACGCACCTGCGTGCATCACCGTGACTAGGTGAGACTGGGAACTTGCTGCAGTCGCAGGGATATAATTTAACAGGAAGGGAGAATGTGACCCTGGTGAACCCAGCTACTTGTTTATTATGCATGGTGCCCTGTAGGGCCCCTCCACAGTATAGAGTAGCCAGAGGTGCTGAACCATGGCCTTGCCCATAAACAGACAGGAGAGAATTTGCACAGTAAATAGAGCCAGCTGGGAAAATTGATGCTGGCGTAAATAATACATGGCAAATCTAGTCCTTTATGCAGAAATTCATTGCCGGTGGCTCCGAGATGCACTATAATTACCCTTCTCTTCCTGCCAGCTGTACCACAGCCTGGTGCCCTAGTCTATGAAATAACCCCCCTGTCTGTTAGCGGCACTGTGGCCATCCATCTGAGAGCTGCATCCCTGGCTGGGGGGTGGGGGAAGAGGAGGACACCAGGGAAAGAATAATAAAAGGCAAAGTAGAGAAATGATCGGAATTGTTTACTGACCACATTTTTTAGAGGAAGGTCGCCTTTCTCGGTGAGAGAGCCTGTCGTGATTAATTAGTTGTGTCTTGGCTGCAGGAAGGGGCGGGGTGTCAGAGTTCCAGGAGGAAGATAGGACATGAAGACGATGAACATAGCAGAAACAGAGGCCGGAAGCAGGGAGGATCTGAGCAAGCAGCAGACGGGCTCCAGGGTATCCGCCTGCAGGAGGACAGGGGAGGGGAGCCTACGAATGGGGGGAGGCTGGCCCTGCTGGCTGCAGAAAGGACCCCAGGAGAAACAAGTCTTCATCTCCTCATTCTGTGAGGGGTTGGCGGATTTCCGCAACCACCGTAGGAAACAGTACAAGTAAGGGATGGCAGATCCCTGCCACGCCCACCTTTTGGGCATTTTGAGCCTCTGTCGGGGGGAGGGTCTCCAGTCTCCCCAGCCGTCTTTTTCTGTGGAAGTCGGAGTGTTTTGCGGGTTTTCTCCACATGGCACTCGAGCAACATGTGCTTGAGGTGGAGCCCGGTTGCCCTCTCTGGCCTGGGCAGATCTGTTGTGTTCCCTGTATGCAGGGAGTCGGGACCCTGCAATAATGGGGTTTCAGAGGCCTGTAAGTAAAGATCACGTGGCCATGATCACTTAGCAGAAAGGGAAACTGAGGCCCAAAGAGTTGAAGTGACAGTCCCCGGGGTGGTGAAACAGCAGCCAGCACCCAGGACTCCCGATCCTCAAGCCAGGACCCTTTGGGTCTCTGGGCTGCCTTTAGTTTCCATCTGCACAGCTCTCTTCCCACAGGGTGCTAACTCCAGCTCAGGGGGCCACGGCCATCACTCAGGTGGCCTTGCTGACCATGGGAAGTTGCCCCATTCACTGCTGCTCCAGACCACCTGTGACATTCCTGCAGGACCTTGTCCCTCATAGCTTGCTTCCTCCTCGGACCTTTTTCTCAGACCAGAGCTTTCTCTTGCACTGCCTGCTGCCTCTGCAGATGCCATTTGGGGCACCCTGCCCTGAGCAGTTCCCCTCAGAGGCCTCGGGCCAGGCTGGCTCTCCTTTCCAAGTGCCTCTTGCTCCCTTTGCTTATGTGTCTGCCTCAGTGTCTGGTGCACACTCACCCTGACATCCTCCCTTATGCGTCAGATATGGTCTAGATAGACATCATAACCCCTCACTACCACTCATCTTCCTGTGCACTTGTCTGCCCATGAGCTCAAGATTAATTTTTTTTTAAAGACTTTATTTATTTGACATCAGAGACAGATCACAAGTAGGCAGAGAGGCAGGCAGAGAGAGAGGAGGAAGCAGGTTCCCTGCTGAGCAGAGAGCCTGATGCGGGGCTCGATCCCAGGACTCCGGGATCATGACCCAAGCTGAAGGCAGAGGCTTTAACCCACTGAGCCACCTAGGCATCCCAAGATCCATGTTTTTAAAAAAGATTTTATTTACTTATTTGACAGAGAGATCACAAGTAGGCAGAGAGGCAGGCAGAGAGAGAGGGGAAAGCAGGCTCCCCGCTGAGCACAGAGCTGATGTGGGGCTCCATCCCAGGACCCTGAGATCATGACCTGAGCCGAAGGCAGAGGCTTAACCCACTGAGCCACCCAGGAGCCCCTCAAGATCCATTTTTAAAAAGATTTTATTTATTTATTTATTTGAGAGAGAGCACAAGTTGGAGGGAGGGGCAGAAGGAGAGGGAGAAGCGACTCCCCACCTAACAGGGAGCCCCACATGGGGCTCCATCCCAAGATCCTGGGATCATGATCTGAGCTAAAGGCAGATGCTTAACCAACTGAGCAACCCAGGCACCCAAGCTCAAGATCCATTTTAAGAACCTCCCATTTCAATTTTTCTTTTGCTCTTTCCATAGTCTGGGAGCTCAGTAGTGGTTAACTATATGAGTGGGTGGGCTTTCGTGCATTTTAAAGATGGCAAAGGAGGAATGCAGGAATGTTTTTCTCCTGATCTAGATAGTCATGAAGTCTCCAAAGTCTCTTTTTATGTCTTTCTAGAGAGGACGCTTGTATGTCCCAGGTCTGATATTAGACAAAATTAATGTTGGGTCCCTACTACAGACTAGCACTTGAGGACTAAGTCAGGCACCTGAACTCCCACAGACTCTCAGGCAGAAGATCCATGTGTCATTGAGGCTGCTGTCTGCTGCAAATAACAAAACCTGGCTTAGAGGCTTCAACAATAAGGACATTGTCTCTAGTTACCTGAAGTCTAAGTTTGGCTCATTCAGTGGCTCAGTGTGAAGGGGGTTTAAAGCCCCCTTTCTTTTTCTGCTGCGCTCTCCTTTTGTGTTGGTTTTGTCTTCAAGCTCATTCTCATTAAAGCCTGGGTGTAGCCATTCTGAGCATCAATCCAGACATGACAATGTCTACAGGCAGGAACATGGTTCTTGTGTCCCTTTAAGTTAAAACTCAACTTCTAATCAAAGCAGACTTACCTCATATCTTATTAGTGCAGAATTGCTTCTTGAACCCACATCTAAATCCTGGCAAGGGAAATTGCTCTGTGATTGGCTCAGCTCAACTAGAAAATAGCCCTGGAGCTGGGGCTGGGGACAGGCTTTCCTTAAGTTTGTGCTATGGTCATTGGAAGGAAATGGGGGTGCTACCAGAAAGGAGGGAGTTGTATGGAGGAATTGGACATCAAGTGGGCAACCACTAGTGTCTGCCATAGACCAGAGGGCAAGTTTATCAAGGCTTTCATGTGCATAGGCCCTTTGTACGCGTCTCATTTAGATCTTAGGACAACCTTGTGGCATGGGAAATCATTCCATTTTATAGACTTTAGGAGTCTAGTAAGGCTGAGGACACAAAGCTAATAAGTGGCAGCACCAGAATCCAAACTCAAGTTGTCTCATTCAAAACCCTACTTCTTTCCATCCTCATGCTGTCTTCAGCTGTGAATATGTAACTGTCTTGATAAAATTCTTTTTTATGTTTTGCCCAGCTAGTAGCCAAGGCTACATATCTTGACCTTTTCTCAGCTTAGCTCACCATAAAAGCTGGATCAGGGATCTACTTTATCAGCTCTTTCCAATTTCTCCTAGGGAATTTATGAGGGGAGTGACATAACATGGAGAAGAGAGATATCGTTGGTATTAAAGTGAATTGGAGGGTACCTGGCTGGCTCAGTTGGGAGAGCATATGCATCTTAATCTCGGTGTCATGGGTTGGAGTCCCATGCTGGGTGTAGAGATCACCTAAATAAGTAAACAAACAAACTTTAAAAGAAGTAAAGTGAACTGGAGGTTTAGGAGAAATAAATCTGAATAAAAAATAATGGTTGGGGCATCTCGATGGGTCAGTCAGTTAAGCGTATGCCTTCGGCTCAGGGCATGATCTCAGAGTCATTGGGCTCCCTGCTCAGCTGGGAGTCTGCTTCTCCCATTCCCTCTCCTCTTCCTCCCTACTCAAATAAATAAAATCTTTTTTTAAAAGTGGTCAAAACAAACAAAACAACAACAAAAACAATGGTCTATGGGTTCCTGAGATGTGAGCCAGGAGGAGCTAAGGGATTTAGAAATGTGCATATCCTACTAGGTTTTTGCTGTGTTCTGGCATGGAATAGTACTGGATAGTTAATACTGTCCAATGTGGTATTTTGGGGAAGGGCATTGGAGAAGGGTCTATGATGTGTGGAGTTTAAAGTAGAGCTAGTTATATCATTCATCAAAGCTTACCCTCGGGGGTTGCCTGAGTGGCTCAGTTGGTTGGGCATCTGCCTTCAGCTCAGATCATGACCCCAGGGTGCTGGGATTAATCCCCGAGTCAAGCTCCCTGCTCAGAGGAGGTCTGCTTCTTCCTATCCCTCTGCCCCTCCCCTTCCTCATGCTCCCTCTTTCTCTCTCTCTCCAATAAATAAATAAAATCTTTAAAAAAGGTTACCCTCAAAAATGTGTTTTTCTCATTTTTTTCTTGTTTTATTGCACTGGCTGGACTAACTTAAGATACTAAGTCAAATAGAAGCACTCATGGCCATTGTTCTGACTGCTGTTTCCAATATTTTATCATTAAGGTTCTGCAGGTTCCCTGTAGTTACCTTTTATCAAGGTAGAGACCGCACTGTGTCTCCTGCTTATCCTATAGAGGGAGGCCAGGTACTGGCCATGACTTTGGCCACGCACAGAGCTCTCTCTCCCAGTCGATGGAAGGTGGAAGGTCTGTGTTTCCTGGAGCTCTACAGCTGCACTTCAGCGGCTGCACTAGTTTGGTGCCTTGATAACCTTTGAACCTTAGCCCTTCTCTGCCCCCCTGCAGTTTCTGGGTGTAACAGCCTTAACTGAAGCCTGGGTTTTGCCAGAAGACAATGGGCCCATGTGGAAAATAATACAAAATCAAGGAACAAGATTTTTTAATTTTTAAAAAGATTTTATTTATTTGAGAGCGGGAGAGAGCGAGAGAGTGAGAGAGCACAAGCAGGGGGAGCAGCAGAGCGAGAGGGGAGATCAGCGGGGAGCCCCAGGAAAGCCTCAATCCCAGGACCCTGGGATTGTGACCTGAGCCAAAGGCAGATGCATAACTGACTGAGCCACCCAGGCGCCCCAAGGAATACAATTTTTTTATATTTCAACTAACTCAGTCTTAGCTCTGACACTTACTTGGTGTCATTGGATGAATCACTTAGACTCTTTAAGCCTGTTTCAACTACCATGAAATGGGGAAGATAATGCTCACTGCGTAGGGGCTCCTGGATGGCTCAGTAGTGAAGTGGCTGACTCTTGATTTCGGCTCAGGTATATGATCTCAGGGTTGTGGGATCAAGTCCTGCATTGGGCACTGTGCTCAGCGGGAAGACTGCTTGAAGATTCTTTCTCTCCCTCTCCCCCTGCCCTTCCCCTGTTTCTCTCTCTCTAGGATAAATAAATAAATCTTTAAAAAATAATAATGCCTGATGGATAGAATTGCTTTAGAGTCATATAGCTTATGTAAAGCAGCAAATACTTTTCCAGTCCTATGACAACTTAATCTCATATCACTGTGAAGCTTCGATGCCCGGAAAGTACTAGTAACAGCTTGCTTCTGTCCAGGCAAGGCCAGCTTCATGGTAGTGTGACCAGTGCAGTCACACAGAGTCTCTGCTTACTTTAGTTCTCTACTGTTGCCATCCTGAAATTCTTTTTTTTAATTAATTAATTTATTTATTTGACAGACAGAGATCACAAGTAGGCAGAGAGGCAGGCAGAGGGAGAGGAAGGGAAGCAGGCTCCCTGCTGAGCAGAGAGCCCCATGTGGGGCTCGATCCCAGGACCCTGGGATCATGACCTGAGCCGAAGGCAGAGGCTTCAACCCACAGAGCCACCCAGGTGCCCCCATCCTGAAATTCTTAATACTTTTTGAACAAGGGTCCCATATTTCGTACTGTGCCCTGCAAACTCTGTAACCAGTCCTGTCTCCAGGAATGAGTAGAAATCTTGTATTGGCCCTTCTATTTGGAAAATACCCTACCACTGATTGCTTAGGGAATAACTCCCTTAGAGAGTTAACCTCTTGTAGAAAAATTGGGATTAGCATCTTGTGTCTATTTATCTCTGTTCCATTCTAGGGGAGTCTACACAGCCTCTTTCAGAAAGGAATTCTTTATATTTTACATAATAGGTTCAGAGAAGTTAAGAGGGGGCTGGTGAAATGGAATGATGATTTGGGGTTTGGGATAAGGAAAAGAACGAGGTTCAAAATGCTTTCTGGCCAAATTACTTGGACCAGGTAATGTCTCTGTCTCATTGGTAAAATCTATGCTGCAGTGGAATTATATTTTCCTAACTGGTAAAATTATATGTCTCAGGGGAACTTAACAGGTAATTTATGTAAAGTGCCTCTCACAGAAAGTATGGCACATAGTAGGTGCTCAATCACCATTAATTCTTTCAGCTCGTGCCAGAAGTAACAAAAGTCTGGGCACTAGCACTGACAAGCCATGCTGCTACTAATAAAAGAAATAATATGATTTATTTTTTCACTAGTGTTTGGGGAAAGGCATGTGCTTCATAAATATGTATTGGAAAGTACTTAGCAAATGGGTAGAAATAATAAAAATATGTCAAAGTAAACAGCTCCTATAAATATGTCACTTGGTGGACAAATTAGTGTTTTATTACTACTAAATACTATTGCTTGCCGAAAAGGATTTTAGATTACTTGCACAATGGGTACATTATTGAGTGCCTCTGCAGAAGGGCATGCTAAAGATGAAAAATAGTGATGGTGTTAATGTTAAAGGTGGAGAAAGGAGGAGTGTGGATAAATGCCGCTCTGAGACCTCCTTGCTTCAGTGATATGTACATTATTTAGCAGCATTTCCATGATTTAGCTGTAATATGGACCAGAGGACTCAGGGAAAAAAAAAAAAAAAAGACCCCCAGAGGATGTCATGAATCTAGACTCCAGTCATTGGGTCCAGCCAGTGGATTGAGCGTACTTCCCTTTGAAACCGAGCCCTCAGCTTGTAAACTGAGCTTACGAAAACACCTCTGGTCTCACCCCATTCTTGTTCTGGACCTATTAACTTTCTGTGACTATAATTAACACTGAGAGAAAGATCAGGTGGAGAATGCTGTGCCTTAATCACAGGTCACAAATCCATTTCAGCAATGAGAGGATGAACAATGTCCTGACATCTCAAGCGGGGTGGGGGAGAACAGGAGACAATAAATGCCTTCATTGGGGGAGTAAAGCCCTGGAGAAGCAGAGAAGACAGAATTCCATCAAGGAAAGTTACCAAAATAGGTAGGAAAAAGATGAGAGGCAGGAGGCCTCTAGAAGGCCAGTCTTTCCATGAATTGATGGGGATGGAAAGACCTGGTTTCAAATTTCAGCTTAGCCTTTTTCAGACTGTGTGGCTTTGGGTAAATTAACCTTCAGATCTTTGTTAATAACACAGGAACAATAGCACTCAGTTTGCTTAGTTGTGAAGATCAGAAATACTTGTAGAGTGACAGGCCACATGTATAAATTATAGTATTTTTATGTCATTTTTTTCTCATGATAGTCCTTATTTTAAAATACAAATTGAAGGGGCGCCTGGGTGGTTCAGTGGGTTAAGCCTCTGCCTTCGGCTCAGGTCATGATCTCAGGGTCCTGGGATCGAGCCCCGCATCAGGCTCTCTGCTTAGCGGGGAGCCTGCTTCCCCTCACTGCTGCCTGCCTCTCCGCCTCCTTGTGATCTCTCTCTCTCTGTGTCAAATAAATTAAATCTTTAAAACAAAAACAAAATCAAATTGCTCAGAACAACTGTGGGAGGTTTCGACAGGAACCTAAAAGCAGAAGAAAATTAAGTGTCACTAGACATGGTCAGAATAATGATTAGAATATATATTATTTTCATGGCTAGGTATTTTCTTCGTCCACACTGGCTAATGATCCCCCATGCAACCCTGAGGCTTTACAGTTTACTAAGCACTTCTATGTGCATTAGCTCATTTCATTCTCATACTAGCTGCCCCCTAACAACCGTTCCAATTGTTTAAGAGATGAGGAAGCTAGCTAGAGCTCAGAGGCATTAAGTACCTGCTGAAAGGTACACAACTGATGAATGTCCAGAGTGGGCTCCTAAGCACAGAAGGCCTTCTTCTGAGCAGTTTCCTCACCCTCCTAAGGTAAAACTAGCTAACCCTGGGGGTTTAGACCCCCAAGAAATGCTAGATGATGGAGGTGCCGGCGAGTGAGAGGGACAAGCATGAGTCTTGCACATCTGGCTTCTATTACCTCCCAGCTAAGGGACCTTGAATAAGCTAGTGAACCCTAATGGGCATGGGTTCCTTCCATTGTAATCTGGGGAACCCTCACTTGCTTATAGCATTGTTGGGAGGAACAACGAGATATCCAAGTGAGGCAACTGGCAAATTCTTACAACGAAACGAGTCCAGGATGTTAAGGGACTCGCTTAAGGCCACCAAGCTGGACCACCACCTAGCTGAGCCACGGACCTGGACTCCTGCTCCTCTTCCAGAGTCCGGTGACCAAGACAACGAGGCGCCGCGGAAGCCCTGACACTAGGAAACCGAGGCCTCCGCCGCAGGGCTCAAGTTCAGGGGGGGCATGCCCCGCCTCCGGTAGCCTCAGCTCCGCCAGGGGGCGCGCGCGGAGGCCACGCTCTAGCCCGCCGCGCGCCTTGCCCTTCTCTATGGTGGGTCGGGCACGGCGGGAGTGGAGGCGCGCTCCCGGGAGGGGCGGAGCCGCGCGAGGGGCGGGAGCGGCCGGGCTGGGCGCCTGGTGATGGGTGGGGGGGCCAACTTCCTGGGGCCGCCCGTGAGGATGTCGCGACCGCCCCCCGGTGCCCCTCAGTCCCGGAGACGCCGCCGCTGCGGAGCCCGGAGCCCCCCTGCCTGAGGCGGCCCGGATTCGGCCCCTCCCCTCCCAGGTGCGGACCGCCGGGCGGGCGGGCGGGCGGCCGCGGCAGGTGAGGAGGCGGCGGCGGCGGCGCTGGGATACGCGAGGTGCCCGGCCTGGGTGGGGTCCTGGGGGAGGTCGGGGTGGGAGTGCTGCTCGGCTTCGGGTCTCGCCGGGCTGTAGTCCGGAGGCGCCTCCTGTATGCCGGGCGCGGCCTGGGGCTCTCCCTGCCTCGCTGGAAGTCTCCGCATCCGGGGCCGCTCGCACCTGTCCCATTACAAGTACCTTCAAAGAAAGCATTTCACCTGTGGGGGCAGTAACCCGAGACAGGTGTCTTCAGGTAGCTCCAGAAGCCTTAAAGACCGGCAGGTTCAGTTGGCTTGGGGGGGAAAGATGCCTCTTTATGGCAGAGGAAACTGAGTCAGGTACGCGGCGGCCTGGTGCCCTCTCTAAAGGACCTAGCTTGTCCCTGCTTCCTAGTGGAGGAGCCCTTGAGGCTCGTTGGAAGGAGGAGGCTGGAGTTCGGAGGCTTGGTGGAGAAGTTTGGGAATGTGCTTCTCCCCACCCCTCCGCCCACTCTTGCCTCTAGGGATTTGCCCTCCGTTTATTTGGGTTGATGGGTGAGGTCGCCGCTGGCCCAGACGGAGAAGGGAAGTGGGGCCTCTGCCGCGGGCTGCCCCTGAGACATTTGACCAGGCGTAGGGAAGTATATGGCTAGACCAGGGGAGTCGGAGCATGGCAGACATCTGTCTGCTCGGAGCTTGGTTTTGAGCTGGCGGAAGATTATCAACAACAGCGTATTTTCTCCTTTTTGTTGGTCTGTCGTTTGTTCTAGTGGGAGAAAACTGTGTAATCAAGGAAGATTCTATCAAGCTCCTCCCAGTCTACCTCAGGGAAGAATTACTGTTAGCTTGGAAATAGGGCTTTACCCACAACTGTCACTTTGCACCTTGGCTAAAGGCCACAGTGACCAAATGAATAATCATTCGCAGGTGCATGTGGCCTTCTAAGAAAGCAGGAAGTTCCTTATTCATCCCTTTACAGCTGGTTTGGAGAATAGGGAGGACTTCCCATCACTCCTGTTGCTACAGCCGTTTGGGCAAACTTGTGATTTTCCCCGGTGACAGTCCAGGTTACTGAAATGTGGCCAAAGCTGTCTATTTATTGAGCCGTTTTTCTAGGAATGGGAATAGGCAGGGGGCAGGATGCTTTGCTGTGTCAGAGTTCAAGGGTTGGGAGCTGCAGTGTTATTTCTTTCCTGATCAGGCGATTTCAGGTTTGACAACTTTCTTTATCCTTTTTTCCTGATTGCATTCTCTTTCACATTCAAGGAAATAGATGATGGCAGGTATTTCTAAAACGTTATGGCATATTTCTTAATAAGTACAATTCATAAACCACAGTTTAGTTAGAGGTGTCATTTTCTAAAGTTTGGAAATTGTGTATAAGAATTGCAGATTGATGTGTCAGGGCTGTTTAATAACTTAATAACTTGATTTTTTTTTTTTAAGGTTTTATTTATTTACTCTTCAGAGAGAGTGAGAACAAGCAGGGAGAGTGGCAGGCAGAGGGAGAAGCAAGGAGCCCGATGAGGGACTTGAGTCCAGGACCCTGGGATCATAAAACTTGGGCCAAAGGCAGCCACTTAACTGACTGAGCCACCCAGGCGCCCCAAATAACTTAATTGTGCTCGAAGAAAATTTCCATGTAATCTAGGACACAAACGCATGTGCATGCACGCACGCACACACATACACACACACTTTAATGTCTATATCTAGTTACAAAGATCAGCCCACTAAAAACTATCAAATTGGTCAGGAAGACACCTGTTATTCTGACTTTACACTGGGATCAAGGGCTTTAAATCTTCTAAATTGACTTAATTTAACCAACTGCTAAAATAATATGCACAGAAAAAGAGCTGCTCGCCGATTAGAAATCAATTTGTTTTTAATCTTTCCCATGACCAAGCTGGTTGACATAACTGCTTAGCACTATCTAATAGGAATGCATCTTTAAGGCCTTTTAAGATAGCAGTGGAAAAAGCATTTTCAGTTTTCAGAATTTAAAAAGCCAAAACAGCAAAAATAAAAAAGGCACAATTTCTTCCCTCCTTACTTGCTTACTGTGATGTTTAATATAGCCACACCCACCTATAAGAGTCTTGTGCCTAGGACTTCCTGGAAACACAGACAAACCTAAGGAGCATTAGGGGGACTGATTTCCACCTTGCTTTTTATTCTTATAACAAAATGTTAGTGCTGCTATTGTTTTAATGGTAGATTAGAGACTTTTATATCAAACTTTACTGGCCATAGTGTTTATGTTTTGGGATGAAAGTTTTAACTTCTGCACCACAGAATCTCATCACCCCTGAGATACAGAACTAAGTCATAACTTAGAGTTTATTGAGAATACGTAGTTTAAATTGCTGTTGGTGAAATCTCAAGGGACCAGCTGCTTCATCGTTCTTATTGTTTGGTAATGATTACTGGTTATTATTTTTGTTCGGTTATTGGTTATTGGTAGTGGTTACTTGTGTTTGGGTAAGAAAGAGTTTGGCAATTATCAGGACAATCTGCTTTTTTATTACCTTTTTTTTTTTTTGGTCTATTTATTTTTTTAACTGAAGTGTAGTTGACACACAAGGACAGTCTTTTTATATACATACACGTAAACTCCTGTTCCTTCAGTAGGGAAATTGGTCATTTTCTTGTACTGTGACTTTATATTAACGACAGAGTTTTAAATAGGACTTTTACCAGGACGTGAAATCCATCCCAGGTAGGGAGGAATCATAGGCCTCAGCTCTCCCAGTTTCCAGGATTTATTGGTTGCCATGGTTAGGACAGTGGTTTTATCTAATCCTATAATGCCACTCTAAGTTTAAACCCATTATCTTCCTTTCTCTTAAGATGGTCATGATGTTTCTTTGCTCTCTCTTCTACTACAGGTTGAGTGCTCCACATTTTTGATGCATCTGGCCTGTTAACATTCTGAGTTGTAGCTAAACAGTTGGCTGAGAGAATCCGATTGCATGGTTTCAAACATTTTCCTTTTTTCAAAGCAAGCATAAAACCTTATGTTTCCTCTGGGGGAAAGGCAGCTTTTTGAATCTGATAGAAAAACCAAAGCTGGTTTTTCCAGCTTTGTACCAGCTCACGAAATCTTAACCTTTCCCTTCTGGTTGTGCCAGTACAGTGGCTGGCCACCAGTAGTGAATGATCCACCACAGATTTTGGGAGTTTCTGAAGTCTTCTTTATTCCGTGCAGCTTTTGGCCTTTTTAGTGTGTTTTATTGCAAGGAGTTCCCAAAAGCCAGCCTTTACTTGAAAGCTGCAGTTCACAGCTGAGTCACTACCAGGTTTTTTAAATGCACAGATTTCCCAGCCCCACCTCCTGGAGATTTGATTGAGGAGATAAGTGATGACCAAGAATCTACATTTTGAAAACTACTCTGCCCTCTATTTCCGAAAAGCTCCCCAAGTGATTCTGCTATGCAGCCAGGTTTGGGAGCCCCTGTTGCATTGCTTTGAAATTCTTTATAAATGGTTGTCCCTTTAAAAGCATCATTATGTTATCCAGGATGTTTGCTTTGCTAGAATAGCCCATTTCCTAGTCATGACAGATAACAAAGAGCTTTTATAACTTTTATGTAAATTACTTTACAGAGAGGGCCCCCCTCCCCCACTGTATTATCTGTCAGGAGTCATGAGGGAGGGTTGGGGAAAGTAGCTTCCTTTATTTCCTGAGTGGACAAATGAATGATAATGTGGAAACAACTGGAGGTTGGAATTGGTAGTCGAATCTAGTTATGATCAGTGTTGGGTAGGAGGGGTGCCTGCCTGGGAATTCTCTGCCTGTAGGATTTAAAAATAAAGCGAACTTGCCAGATGTTTCACTGCTTCGTACGTGAAGCGCTTATGGAGGAAAATAATGGAGGCTTAATTGTCAGTCAACTTAAAGGTCCTTTGCTGAGTTCATGGAAGGAACACGTTAGGGAATTAAACTTGGGACAAGCCTAACAGTTTAGAAATCGACAAACCCAGTTTTGGATCCCAGCTTTCCCGCTTCCAGGCCATGCTACCTCAGGCCCCCTTCCTTAATCTCTGTCAGCTTCATTTTCTTCATCGCCCAGATGAAAATAATACCTAGCAGGATTGTTAGGTGGATTAAAAGAGAGAAATACATTCTTTATACATTGCAGGCGACTCCATGAATCTTCGCTGCTACTTTCTGCTAGGATTTTTATTCCGAAGGCTGAAGATGTCTTTCTAAATCTGACTTTCTCTGTAGGTCTTTCAAGGAGTATCTACTCCATCAGCTCTTTCAGACTCTATCAAAGAGTGAGGGTTGAAGCTGGGAGCTGCACGATAGGGGATGAGAGAGCACTAGGACCCTCAAAAATGTTTTTAGAGGGGCTCCTGGGTGGCTCCATGGGTTAAAGCCTCTGCCTTTGGCTCAGGTCATGGTCTCAGGGTCCTGGGATCGAGCACCTCATCGGGCTCTCCTCAGCGGGGAGCCTGCTTCCTCCTCTCTGCCTGCCTCTCTGACTACTTGTGATCTCTGTCTATCAAATAAATAAATAAAATCTTTAAAAAAATGTTTTTAGAATGAGTGGCATGTAGACATCTATCCGGAGTTACTGTCTGTAGGAATGAATTAATAACCTCTGAATTCAGCCCTGTGTATCTGTCCATCTGGGTGGTAGCCCGGGCACTGCCATCAGGCCAGGAGGCTCTAAGGGTGGCCTCGTGAAACGGCTGACATCCATTTCTTTCCTTATCTTCCTTCCTCCCTTTTGGTCTCTTGTTTCTCTTTCCCTCTCTCCTCCCTTCCCAGTCTTTCAAAGTGCCCTTCCTTCTTCGACTTGCCAATCATGTTACAATAATCATGGGCCAGGCCCCTGAAACTGCAGGCTAAAAGAGGTTGCTGGTTGCTAACACCTGTCTCCCAGCTAAATGAATAGGCCCTTTTGTGGGCAGGGTGTTTAAAAAGCTGATTAGTACAATGCTGTCTTAAAGGACCTATTAATGATACAGCATATGTAAATCAGAGAGTGATTTA